TAATTAATTCAATTTATTGCAACAATAATAATATCATAATCTTACCATTTCAATAAATTTTAAAAGAGATTCCTTGTTTTGTAACCAAAATTTAGGTAATTCGCTAGCATTTGGAAACTTTGTACATCCCACTTCTAAAGTTAATTCGAAGTCATTACTATGAAGATAATTATAATCTTGCATGCCACCTGATACAGGATACCATGCTGCACCATTAGTAATTCCATCTGGAAATCGCTCCTCTAGTAGACTTTTTATACCAGATATTTTACTTGTTACAGGTGGACAAGGTTCACCAAGATGCATTTGTGGATGAGCTTTTGAATACGTCAGTGCCAACATTTTGAATACATCATTGTCAGGGCTTGGATTTGGAAGATTAGATTCAGGTTCTGGTCCATTATCATATGGATAATTAGCAACTAAAGCACCTCCATGAAGATTTGCAGAGAGTACAAATGGAATACTTGCAATCCAATTCATTACTGCTCTAGTTTCTGGTTCCTGTTCCTTATTATACTAAAATTGATATTTTATATTTATTGTTGATTTACATAAAATAAATAACATATTTAAAAAAAACATGTATGTAAAAGCCATGATATCAATTTGATAAATAATGAAACTTACATCATTGGTTACATAGAGATCAGGAAAATTTCTATTGAGATCCACACCTTTTGCATTAGCTCTTCCTTTTAGACCATATATATCACCTACTTTTGATATCTCATATCCATCAGGATTCATACTTGGTAATATATGTAATCTAATTGTATTAACTATTCGAGTTATTCTTTTATCTCTTCCATAATTTTCACACAAATATTTCAGTAGCAATAATAAAAGTTCTCTTCCAACTACTTCATTTCCATGCATGTTTCCAATATATTTTACTTCAGGTTTACTCAAACTATGTTTTCCAGGATCCTTTGTAATTTCCATAACATAAAGTTGTCGATTTTCGACTGAACGACCAATACTATGAAGACGTGTAATATTTGGATAGTTTTCATTGAGTTCCTTTAAATATTTTTCCATTGCAAAATAATTATGATGTTTAAATTCTGTATGATGTAAAAAGCCATATTCGTCAGTTGTTCTTGTAATTTCTTTTACTTTCTCCAAGTTTCCTGTAGCTGTGTATAAATATAGAACATATATATGCATAACTATAGTACATATAGAATTATATATACACAAATTATGTATATATAAAATTATATATAGACAAATTATAAGCGTTTTTTATTTTAAATTATAATTAGATATTTCTCACAGCATTATCAAGTACCAAATTAATAGAAGAGTCTTAAAATATGAATATACTTTAATATGGTTTAGAGTATCAAATCACTTAAAAAATATTTAGCATCGTATTAAGAAAATTATAAAAAATTGTGTGTATATGATATAAAACACAAGGTATAGAGAATATAATCTGAAAAATGAATATATATATATATATATATATATATATATATATATATATATATATGCATATACATAAACATAACATAATTTAAGGTAGAATTGTTTAAGGTAAAATTGTAAGGAATAGGCGCTGGTATTAATATTGAAAAATTGACTCATTATTTAAGACAAATACAATAGTTTATTTTTACTCTGCACATTGAATCATATGTAGCAATACAAATCAAACTATGACTTTTAAAATACATTCGGCTTTAGATATTTATGAAATTCATATGAAAAAATTGTATGATATATTAACTGTGATGTTACGATCATCTTAAAATATAATATATTAATTACTGAATTTAATTTTATATGCTTGAATAAACAGATTTCTCTTATGAAATAACATAAAATATGTATGCATATATATAAATATGTTTCATTTCTACTACTTCTACCATTCAGTAAAGTTAATCAGTGATAATAAAATAAAAGCAGGATATTATAAATTGTTCACTTGCTACATAACATAACAATATATTTTTATATAAAATATAAGAACAAAGCTTGGAAGTACTATAGATCTATAGATTGAAAAGATTTAACGTATCTAATAATCGTATCTAATAATCGTGCATTATAACAAAAATGAGACATAATATATTTTGCATTATATATATAATAAATTATATAAGTTCAAATATAATCAAAATTTTACACTATATAAATATATATAAACTATATTAAAAATATTTTTACTTTTCTATTCTATTTTTCTATTTGTTTTAACAAATCCTTTTCTCCATACCTTGTGTGCTTATATCTTTTGAATTTTATGATATAAGTAATCATGTTATATATTCTACTAAATGTTTATATTTGTTCTTTTGAATTAATCTTGATTCAATAAAAATCATGAACGAGTATATAAACTTAAATGCGATATAAATTGAAGGCTGTAAAATAAAAAGCATATAAAAATAATAATAAATTGTAAATTTCAATAAAAATTTAACATAATAATTAGCAAATTAATCATAAAATACTTTTATTAAATTTGATAGAAACTATTGTAATGTAATTGTTTAAATTCTAGTATCAAAGATAAAAGTATTTCTGTATGCAACTATTTTAACATAGCTAAAAATTTATGAATAATAAGTATAATGTGGGTCGTTATATAATTTGATTATACAAAATATAAAACTCGTAACACATAAAAAGATGATTACATTAAAACATATCCAATTGCAAAATATGTAAACAAATAAGAAAAAAATAAAATGAAATAAATTTTTCCTTAAGTTACAAAAATGTTAATACTCATCATCGTCATAAGACAAAATGATTTTATAAAGTGCAGGGAAACGACTAAGAAGTGGTAAGATTTGTGGATAATCTGTTTCACGTTTACCTTGTTCACCAAATGATCGTCGTTTTAATGTAAAGTTAACGACCGTTGGATCATTCTGTCTTACAGTTACATTTACTAGTTCACTTGGTCTATATCTGCAATTAGAAAAAATGAAAAACATAAGTATTAGATTTTCAACTGTTAGTAATGAGATATGTAGAAATTATATGTTTAAAAATTGAATTATATTGTATAATTACAGACATTAGACCTATAATACAATTTCATACAAAAATTATTATTATAATAATTGATATGATCTTAGATAATATTATATTCTTTATCATTTTATCATATTGTAATATGATCTTACCCCCAAGCAGTTGCATAAACAGAATAAGTGCCAGGTAGAAGTAAACGCCAGTATTCTCCACGATTTGTAGTTGTGACATTATGATCGATTCCGTGAACTACAATGCTAGCATCTTCAACAGGTTGGTCTTCTGTATCCCTTACCAGACCTAAAATATAAATCGTGATTTCTAGATTCTTTTATAAATAAAAATTATGCCATTATAAACCTTTTATTCCAATATGAGCTTGTTCCAAATATTTAATAAGAGATTCTTTATTTAACTGCCAATGGCCTGGGATTGATGAAGCAGGAGGATATTTGCAACAACTTAATTCAAATGTTATTTCAAATGCATTAGAACGAGCATAATTATAGTCTTGCATACCCCCAACAACCTCATACCTAATAAAATAAAAAATAGAATAGTGAAAAAACCTCTTAAAAATATTAAGACAGTATAGTCCATTAATGATTACCAATATGCTCCATTTGTAACACCTCCTGGAAATATTTCTGGTGGACATGCATTGCCTGCTGCCATTCGAGGATGATTATCTGCATACGTATGAGCCAAATATTTAAATAACTCATTATCTGGACTTACACTTTCAATGCAACAAGATTTAGGAATACTGTAAATCATATTATATAGAATTAATTACATCTATATGTATCTTGATTAATATTAACTAACAATAGAATTTAAAAAAATAATTAAGTCAATTGTTATGTGTGTGTAATTAAAATTTTATATATATATATTATATATTATATATTATATATTATATATTATATATTATATATTATATATTATATATTATATATATATAATATATAAAAGCATTTAAAATTATATTATAATAGTTAAATTGTTGTTACCCAGAATCATACGGATAGCTGGCAACTACAGCACCCCCATGTAAATTACCAGATAAAACAAATGGTTCATTAGCAATCCATGTCATCATAGCAATTGTCTCTTCTTGTCGTCCTTGTAATATATTACTACCTGTTCTAATCTTATTATCAAATTGGTCTGGAAAATCTCGATTTAAATCTACGTAATTTGCATTTTCTCTACCTGAAAAATCTTCTTTAGAATCACATTTTCCTTCCTAAAACATAAATAGTTAAAAAATTCAAGATTTATAATGTTACAAAATATGCAATGCCTTTATAATACATTAGTTAAAATACCTGCGATTTTTCAAAACCATCAGGATTTAGAGAAGGCATAAGGAAAATATCCGTTCTATTAACTAGTCGTGTAATTCTTTCATCTTTGCCATAGTTATGCAAAAGATATTGAGAAAGGTATACCAGCAATTCCCTGCCCACAGATTCATCACCGTGCATATTAGCGACATACTTCACCATTGGCTTACCAAGTGTTCTTTCCTGTACATTTTCTGAAATTTCCAGGACTAATAATTCTCTCTCTTCAACCGATTTTCCTATCGAAAAAACACGAGCCAAATTCGGATATGATTTTGCCAAGTTATTGAACAACGCCAGCAGTTCATCATAGTGAGTATAACGTAGATTTACGAAATCTTCGTCTGGTCCATTCGTAAGATTTAATACAAGACCATTGAGCGACACGGCAAAAGTGGCAGTAATAATAAAAAGTACGATACCGCGTAAGTCCATCTCTTGACTTTAAATTTATGCAAAACTATAAAAGTTACTCCACCATTTCAATAAGACATTCTGCACTAAGATTCTGTATATACCACTGATGACGTCCACACGTTGATAATATGGGCGGAGAAAGTCATGGAAAGTCGAAATACTCAAGAGTGGGGGATCGCGGGAATAATCTCAAGTTGCTGTCGTCACGCTTTCCTACTTTTTGAATCGATCGATTCAAGTATCGAGTAAATCGAACGCAAACTTTTACGTCATACTTCAGATGGTATATAATGATAATATCAGTATAAATATTTGTTAATTTATTGATCGTTGTCTACAATTGGAGTTTCAGTGAAATAATTATACAAGGGATCATTCATTATGGAAAATATTAAGAAAGAAGATAAACAGTAAGAGTATTAAATTTACGTTATTAATAATTATTTATAATCATTATATTATTATTAATAATATTGTAAATCATAATTATGAAAGATTTTTCTAAAGAAATTATGTTAGAAAAATGTACACTATATTTTAATACCTTACGATTCAGATTATGCGCGAAAACTTTTGTGTGTAGTCGTCTGTAATATAATCTGCATATAGAATATAATGTCTGCATTTTTCTTTATATCACATTATATATATATTGTAACATATTTATAGGTCGCCGGTATTTAATGCACAATATATAAAACCCTATTTATATATCTCCGGTATTTTACAAGCAGTCAAGAAAAAACATATTTTTATATCTCCGGACGATAATATGTTAATATATTTTTAATCAAATAAGAATCCGAAAATACTAACGTATATAAATGTAACAATTACAGATATGGTTTAATCATACCTAAAAAACAACTCTCTGCACCAAAAGCAATAAATGTATTTGGGGATGAGGATACTTCTGATGAAGATGATGGCACTGATTGGGTTAGGAAAGCTCTTAAAGCAGAAAGTGAAAAAAACAAAATGAAAAAGCAAACTAAGCTTAACATGCAAAAAGCATTAAAAGAAGATCCAACTATCTATCAATATGATGAGGTATATGATAATATAGGAGCAAAAAATCAAGTTAAGACAATAAAAGTTCAAGAAAAGAAACCAAGATATATACAAAATTTCTTAAAAGCTGCAGAACGAAGAAAAAAAGAACAAGAACATAGGATAGAAAGAATGGTACAGAAAGAAAGAGAGGCTGAAGGAACAATGTATGCAGATAAAGAAAGTTTTGTAACATCTGCATATAGAGCAAAATTAGAAGAATTCAAAAAAATGGAGGAGGAAGAAGCTAAAATGAGTAGATTGGAAAGTATTGGTGATGTGACAAAACAACAAGATATGTCTGGATTTTATAGACATTTATATAAACAAACTGTTGAAAATATAGAAGAAGTTGAAAAAATTCCAAAAAATGCAGAAAATAGTAATGTCACATTAGAAGCAGAAAATGTAATTAATAATGAATTTTCTACAGTAGCAAATGAAAAACATGAAAAAAAATGTAATGTAAAAAAAAGTAAAAAAAGTAGGCAATATAGACAAAGGGTTATTGAAACGTATGAAAGTGATAATGAATTACAAAAAGAAACTGAATCTTGTAACACAAATAAAAGTATAATTAATATAAAAGACAAAAGTATCAGTAGCTCCGATATTAAAGAGCCAGATAAAAAGAAACAAAAATGTGAAATACGAGATATTCAAACTAATACTCTGTCTAATTTAATACTTTCAGATGAAAATAAAGACGATATAAAAGATTCTGAAAAAATATCACAGGATATTGATGATAAAAAATTCAAAAATAAAGAAAATAAAGAGAACCAAGTTGAAAGCGCCCAAAAGAAAGAAAGATCTTCAATTTGGTTAAAGAGAACAGTTGGTCCTATATTTGAAGCAGCTTTACAACGATATTATGCTAGAAAAGCAATACGGAATACTGGAACACAATAAGACATTATTGTTATTTTGATATCTTTATAAGTTCATATATATTTTAAAAAATTTATTGATAAATTTATATTCAATAAATTAATGCTACATAGAACATAAATAAGTTCAAAATAAATCATTTCTACTTAGAAAAATTTCTTATATTCACTTGTATAAAATCTACAATTATGTTTGCTTAATGCATGTTTGTATATTTTTACACTGCCAAATAAAATGTCTTAATAAACGTAACAAATCGTAGATAATAAGTTGATTTCCATATTATATGAAACATTCCAATTCATTTCATTATGTATTATCTTCATCCATATATGCATTTTACAGGAAAAAGTGTGAACCTCACATATACACACACTATAGAAATACTTTTATAAATACAAAATTTAATTTCTTTCATGATTTTCTTCGCATCTGGAAATACTGAATTACACATTTCATCTTAAAGCAGTAAATTTAATTATATACCTCATTATTATTAACTAACTGAAATGTTTTGAGGTAACATATGACCAGTATCTCCAAGACAATGCATTGTTACTCTTCCATTAGGATATATACACAACCAAGTAATGCTTCCATGATTTAAAGACATACGCATCCAAGCTTCTGGAGGAAATTGTAAAGCTCTAAAAAATAAAAAAATATATATGTACAAACTATAATTTAGAACTCGAATTATAGTGATATATTATGCAACTCGAATCTTTTTAATTCTGTAAGTCTCTTTCAGTTTAAAATATTTTATTTCAGATACATTTATTTTTTTAGTTTTTAATCCTAGTTGTGCCTGTGAGGTATAGGACATCCCAGACCAACTTTGAGCTCAATTAAAACAATTTGCACATTGCATGATTTATGAATATTTTTTATGACAGAATTGGAAATGCGTTTTTAAATCTACTGATTATTATTACAGAGGCTTCAAAGAATATAGTATTTTTTGGAGTAAAAATTATTCATTCTATATAAATAAGAGCTGTTCAAAGTGCCTGGAGTGTAGTGCACAACTTGAAATTATTTTAAAGTGAAGAAATTATTAAAAACTTCCTTAATTCATGTTTTTCTCAACACTCATGGTGTTTTGAGTTACATAAAAATTGTGATATAAAATTCAATATATATATTTGTTATAATATAATATATTGTATACCAAGAAGGATTCATTAAAACTAATGGATCAAAAGAACAGAATGTAATATAAAAAATGATCATAATATTTACCTGCAAACAAAATATCTAATAACATTTGCATGACAAACAAGAATAGTAACAGTATCTTTTTCTTGCTTAGGGTCTGCTCGATGGAAATATTTTCTAAATGCTGCTTCTATTCTAGGTCCATCTTGGTAAAACTAAAATTTGTCATAAAATTTAATTAATAGTTACATTGCAAATTACTAATTATTAAAAAATTAAAATAATAATATATCACTAATGTAATTTATACACACATATCGTTCTGACATCCAATTGCCTATTGGTGGTTCAGGTGGAATAGGTGCACCTTCAGTTAAAAGGCTATCATCTTCAGTTGGTACATTTGGAAGACTTTTTTCTATTATTTTAGAAGTTTCTTGAGCTCTTGTCATTGTTGATCTAACTATTAGAGAATAAGATACGTCTAATTCTGCTAATCTTTTTCCAGTTGTTTCAGCTTGATGTCGACCTATATAAATATAAATATAAATGTACACTATATTTGTATATATATCTAACTATATTATAAAATAATTATATATGATTTAAGCAGATATTAAAATTGCTTATTTAAGATTAAAATTATATAAATAATTTTTAATAACTAACCAAGTTCAGTAAGAACTTTTTCAGAATCTATTTTTCCCGCAGTATTATATTGTCCATGTCTAATAAGTACCAAATGCCTCATATGTTTGGCTCTTTTTGCTGCAAATTCTTCATTATATTTATTTTCATCTATTTCATTATTTATTTTCAAAGGCTTCACCAAACTTTTTGGATCTCGCCTGTAACATAAAAAAATATGTGTTTCCATCCATTATTATAAACAATAAAAAAAACTTTTTTTTAGATATAAACAATGTAAAAACCCAAAGAACCTGTCCCAGTTATGATCCCATTTTACAGAAGGCGTGAAATTTGTTGTCCAAGAGTTTTGTACACAAGAAGATTCACAATCACCATAGGCATTGTAATAAAATAATGCTGCACCACTTAAAGCACCTAAACCTACAACGGTCCATTTTTGAAATCGTAAAAAGACTGACATTTTTTAAAATAATACAATGAAAATGTTTGAAATTTAATAATTTTGCTAGGGGGAAGCGCACGTATGTACACCAATATATACACTAGTCAATAAATTATTCAAAAGTTCACTATAAATCTAGAGAGTTTTATTGTAATTCGCAAAAATGGTTGCAAAAATATAAACATAAAGCTATTTACAATATCCAATAATAAGCCATCTTTTTTGAAATTCAAGATTAAATAAGTATTCTGATTGGATAACAGTACCATAAGTGTTAGTAACGCGTTAGTAATTTCGGGAGATTTTTCTAAAATCCCTAAGATATACTCTCATATTCAAGTATGAATATTTCTATATTCATGTATGTATATTCTAATTCCATTTAAATTTTCTAAGAGCCAAAGTATTTTATATCTTATATTACTTTTTTAAAATACAAAATTCAATTAATTTTATTATATATTAGATAAAAATAATTATATATTATACTACATATAAATTGTAACATTTCAAAATTATATACATCATATAATTTATATTTCCAATTTAATATTTTTAGCTTATATCATTTTATTACAATAAATGAATATAAAATTTTTATTTAATAATGAGAATCCATAAGAAGATTACCAGCTTGGTCTTTAAGTCTTATTCTACCATTAGAATAACGTGTCTCTTGTATACCATCTGGATAAACCAATTTAATTGTACCATCAGGATATTCTCGTCTCTAGGAAAAGAAAATGTTTATAGTTGTTTAATTTTATTTTTAGCGGAATTCGCTAAATTATTAATGTTAAATAGAAGGATTAATTCATTGTAAGCTTTTGTTTTAATTACTTTATGATCTTTTGTATGTATTTCTCGTTGTCCATTGGGTAGAATAACAACTTTTTCTCCATTTGCAAAGGTTTCTGCAATTGTTCCATCTGGCAATTTCCATTTTTCATATCCATCTACTTTAATTATTTGCATCGAACCATCTGGAAATGATATTTCAACCATGCCATTTTGTGAACGCTTTTCCACTTGACCACTGTATAAAATATTAATATAACTTATAACAATAATCCCTTTATTTCTTATAATTGTAAGTTTTTATAAATATGTATTTCAACTTACTTCGGAAATTCTAAAATTTCAAGACCATCGGGCATTGTTGTATGCCATGTCCGTGTTGAAGCATAAAAATATTTTACTTTTCCATCTTTTTGTGTTTCACGAACATCACCATTGTAATATAACATTTTTGTTATACTTTTGTCAGGAAAAATTTTTTTAACATTACCATTGGGATACCACAGTTCAGTACATCCATTAGGATGTTCAATACATTGTACTTGTTCATTAGTTTTAAACTCTTTTGGAGAAATAGTTCTCTTGTATGCATGTAATAATTCTTTAGATGAGATAGAAGTTAATGGTAATTTTTGAGAAATTTTTATTATATCATCATCGTTTTCATAATTTAGAGTAACTTTATCTTTTTCATCCATACACGTATCTTTATCAATTTGTGACTTACTATTTCCATTTTCTTTTTTATTTTGATTCTTTCTACTACCATTTGCTTCACATTTTAATTTATTCAATTCTGATGCTTTTATTACATTTGAAACTTCAATGGAACTTGATGTAGCATTCTTCAATAAATTTTCATACAGATTACGTTTCTTAATAATATTTTGCATACATTGTTCATACTCTTTAGAAATGTTGATATTACTTTTATTACTATTACGATTATGATCTTCATTACTATGACTATCTATTTCATAATCACTTTTTACATATTCATGTTCTAAATTTATGGCATCTAACATTGTTTTCGACATTTTATCATCATCTTCTAATGAAGAATCATTTTTTATGACTTCTTTCATTTCTTCACTAAGCTGTTTATTAATTTGATGTAAAGCTTTTGTATTTGAAAATGTACCTATACTTTTTGTAGTTTTAGGATTATATGTTTTTGTTTTTATTAAGCGTTCTACTTCTTCCTTTAATTTTATATTTTCCATTTTTAATATTCTCATTTGACTTCTATGTCTAGCTTGTGCTGCATTCCATTTACTTTCTTTGCTCCTAAGTTCAATTTGTAATTTTTCTAACTGCTCTTTTAAGTCCTGAATTTGTTGTCTTTCCAGTTTATTTTGATGAGCCTTTTCTTGAGAATCACGTAATCTTGATTCAAGTACGGTTTTTTCACGTATCAATTTTCTTTTTTCCTCTTCTAAGCAATCTATTCTCTTTTTATTGTCTTCTAAAATTAATTTTTTTTCTTTTATTTCTTTCAGAAAACATCGATAATCTTCTTGCAATTTATGACGTTGTGAAGACAAAGCTGCATTTTCTTTGCGAAAAATATCAATTTCTTTTTCTAATTCTAATAAACGATTTTTTAAAAGTTCAGATTTGAAAATTGTTTCTTGCGTTTTTTTTATCTCATGTTGATCTATTTCCTCTTTCATAATCTTATTTGTATATGTATTGGTAAAATCACAAGCTTCATTTGCAACTTCATTTGTCTTGAATGTTCTGGATTTTATTAATTGTACATTTGTATCAGAGGAATCAGATAATTCACTGCAATCACTCCAAGCTCTTTCATCGTTATAATCTTTTTGTGACAGAGATTCAGTACTAGATATGCTGGAATTGTCAGTTAAGCCAATAGTTTTATACTCATTATATTCAGAAAATCTGACATGTAAACCTACATCTATTTCGTTAGAATATACAGAATTTTGAATGTCGCAGTTTATTTCATCGTGTATATGTTCTATATGATTTTGAATGAACATTTGATCAGATTTTTCATTTTTTAATACATTAGATGTATTTTGTTTTTTTAATATTTGATTATTCTCTAGAATTTCATTTGGGTTTTTTATAGGTATGGTTTCCCAGAAAGAATTAACATCAGATTCAGTCTTTTGATTTGATGGTATTGATTGAGTATCAGTCAATTGAAGTCTTCTAGGACTAATTTTATGAACAATATCTTGTTGTATTGGATTATTTATATTATCTTCTGTATCCCGAATTTTTTGCCTTATTTTGAAAGGCGTTGATTGTTGTAGAAATGCAACTACAGTACTTGAGGTTGAACACAAACTAGAATTTTCTGCTTTTTCTTCTAAAAGTTCAAATATTCTTATTTCTTCCATTTCTCTTTGTGTTTTCAAATCAATATCAGAACTATTTATTTCAATAATATTTGAATTTATACTTGATTCGATATTTGCTAATACAGCTTCGTTTTTTTCAGAATAAATTTTTTTTGGAGGAGGAACGTTCTTTAAATTTAACTGTTGTTGTACCACATTAATAGCAGCAATGCACTTCCTTGAAGGCACATTTTTAGATAACTTAGGCTTATTTTTTGTATTATCATTTTTATTATTTGTAGGATTAATTTGTTTCTTAGCAATTTGTTTAATTGATACAGGAATAGCGCAAGATTTTACATTAACTGGAATGTTTTTTGAAGTTTGAATCATTCTGAATCTAGCTAGGCCTTGTCCTTTTTTTAAAAATGGTCTTTTAATTTGATTTTGTATTTTATCATTTGATTCTTTGTTAAATATTGGCTTATACTCTTTCAACTTTTCTTCTAGCAGAGTTTTAAAGTCTTTCTTTGGAGATGGCACTGGAATATCGTCAATAAGAAAACTTTTATTTACAGGTTTATCAGGTGGTAATGGTTCTATTCCTTCTAATAAATGGTCTATTAGATGAATTTTCTTTTTTTGGGATGTTATATATATATTTTCATTATTTGAATTACAATCATTTTTGGCATTATCTTTTTCATTTTCTTCTTGATATTTCGGTTTACTTAAGGTTTGTTTGCCAACATCATTTGAAGATTTTTTTAATTCAGTTAGAGACTTTTCTTCTTGAAAAGATTCATCAATGGTACTTATATTTGAATTAGTAAATAAAGATATATAATCAGACTTATTTATGTTATTATTATCATTTGTAGATTGTTCTTGAATTATTTTTTTCACATCTTTATCAATTTGTTCTTGTTTACAATCATCTGCATGATCAGTTGTATTCGCACTTAAATGTGCATCTTCGTACCAACTATTTTCACACAATATTCTATTATCAAATCCTATTTCCTGAATAGGTAGTCTTAAAACTTCATACATGCGTAATTGTTCCTGAGTCAATTTCTGCCGCTGTTCCTGTTGTTGTCTTGTAAGACGTTCCTGCTGTTCAATCTGCCATTGTCTTAGTTTTTGTAAACGTTCAACCAATGATGTTTCTAAATCCATTATTTAAGTCGCATAATATTTCTTAACAGAACAAAACATATTATGTAGAAACAATCGCGTATAGAAAGTTATATTATTAATTATAATGAAGTAAAAGAACTTATCAAAGTGATACTTAAATATATTAAATAAATATATATATATATATATATATATTTATTAAAGATATGAATCCTATATAAATTAAATAGAAATTTATTAAAAAGTTAGTGTTATGACGTAAAATAAATTATAATCAAATATTCAACAAGTGTGACAAGTACGGTTATGTCTTTATTATCACATATCGCGTATTTGATATTAAAAAAATGTTAAATGTTCATAAATGTCCATTCACCTTGTTTTGTAAAAAGGATATAATTAATAAACTTTGTTCAGTATAATACATAAATTAAACACTAATATATGGCATAACGCTACCACACAAATTGTAAAAACTTGCTTAATTTCAAATATTCTATACTTCTTAAAATAACCACAAGAGTTCTCTGAAAGCAATGCAATTAACAGCAACTTCAGATATAATTTTTAAACTACTGAACAATTAATAGTAAGTAGAAAAGTAAATAGAGCTACAGTATTAACACATCAACAAAAAAATGGAGTCAAAATTATATTAAAAACATATATTCATATATGCACATATTCGTTTCTATATTTATGTTTATATTGTAAGAATAATTTATATAAACGAAATATACAGATTATATTTATATAATTACAATATTACAAATTAAATCTAATTTATTATAAATTAATTAAAAGTGCTGGGTAAAAATATACATAAAATAAGTAATTATATTACTGATTTATTGAACTTGGTGATGAATTGGAGAGTTGATGCACATTATTGGAAGGCATGGAATTTGTGGAACTCAAATTTTCTTGTTTGAAGGTCATGGCAGGATTTAAATTAATATTAAGTACAGCAGTTGATGCAGGGTTCTGCATATCTAATTGGCTCTGAGCAATGTCTTGCAAAGCTGCTTGAATTCGTTGAAGTAAAGATTCTCCTTGTCTTACTACTTCTTCAAGTTGCTTACCAGCTTCCTGATTTTCTTGTTCTAAACGACTTAAACTAGCTACTTGAAGTTCCTGTGACGATTCTTCGCTTGGAAGACTTTCTATTAATGTATCAATATCCTTTGCACATCTTGCAATTAAAGTTGCAAATAATGCTGCATAATCTAAAATATATATATAGTATAAAAATTGATAATTCAAAATAATAAAAAATATAGAATTAATATAATAATATACTTATGTACACCTTCTTGTGGTTGATGTGGTTGTGGAGTACCGATTCGATCAAAACCAGGAAATTTACTTGGTGTAGAATACTGTTGCAATATACCAACACTATTGCAAAAATGTTCTGCTTGCTATAAACATAAATATATAGATGTTAATAAAATTAGAAATAATATTATAATATTATTGGCTACTAATTAAAAATTAAATATTAAATATGATAAATTACCTGATTTATAGTATCTTGCAATTGTGTTAAACGATCAGCCATAGTGATAAAGTTTATAAATGAAAATTGAAAACCAATTAAATCTTTACTAAAAATAATAGTTCATTCTTGTAACATTATTAAAACACAAATATATTTATAATATTGTATTTTTCAATTATTTGATTAAAATATATATACGCGAATTTTGACATAGAATAATATTGTAACTATAATATACATTAATTAAATCTGTTTAATTTCTTCAATTCTAGATCTATGTAATTTTTGGTATATTATTAAATTTATTTAAATGTTTCTTATATAAACCGTGTAATGTCAACAAAAAGCTCACTCTTTCGACAAACAAATCCCAGATACTTGTAAGAATTATCGTTTTATAGCATCAAGAATTGGCAACGTAGCAGAAAATATAATATAACGCCATCTATCAATATTACAACAAATTCAATTATCATTTAGAGATATGTTTTATTTAAATAATGTTAGTTACTTTATTACATTTATTTTATGAACAAAATATATATTAACTATATAATATATATCATCATGGATTTAACTATGGAAATTCATTCTAATCTCGATTCTTTCAATGTAGTCATCGATAATACTAGACGCACAATTGAATATCGATATCGATCTTTTTGAAAAATATCGAATTATTGTTTCGATGTATCGACAACGATACACGCATTCGTACATGGACAACTGTGTACGTATTTCGATATAATATGTAATGCGAATCTATTTGTATTAATGTAAACGTTTTGAAACTACTTCGAATTACTTGGAATCGTTTGAAACTTTATTGGGAAAGTTCATATCGCTTGAACTGAATAATAATGCATATAATGCTGTAGATCAACCGAAAAATGATACTCAGAAATTTTATGCCCCAATGGATTGTGATGTTAATATTGACTGTTACAATTCTCTATTTGAAGTTGAGAATAAATTTTTTGGAAGAGAACTACCAATCATTACGTATGCGCTATATTTTCGTGCTAACTTTTGTGACTCAAAAACAAGTGTATTTTGTTAATATTTCATTTTGTTAAAGGTGATGGAATAACATAGAGTATCCATTCGTACTTCCAGACGATGCCGTTGTACAGATTCAAAATGAACTAAAAGATAATGTCAAATCCGATATACGAATATACAAGCCAACAAATTATGAGGAAATTGTTATAATATATAATAGAGTTCCCAAAACAGCCTCTACGAGTTTTGTGGGTTTGGTTTATGATTTGTGCAAACAAAATAAATATCATGTTTTACATATTAATGTAACAAATAACATGCACACGCTTACACTTTTCAATCAGGTATTTCACATTCAAACAAATAATTTATTTGATTTTTTTTCTTTTTTTTATAAATTAACTTTTAAATTTTCCTTTCAATCGTAGATTCAATTTGTAAATAATATATCAACATGGAACGCAATAAAGCCAGCATTTTATCATGGCCATATGGCCTTTTTAAATTTTGAGAAGTAAGTTACATATTACATTTAAAAGAATATATGACTGATTATTTAAATGACTTTATATTTTACATATTTATTCTGAAAATTTTAATCATATAGAAAGTTTGGTTTTTTCAGATTTGGTGTAAAACAAACTCCTCTTTATATAAATATATTACGGAAACCTTTAGATAGATTTGTATCTTATTATTATTTTTTACGATATGGCGATAATTTTAGACCTCATCTCATAAGAAAAAAACATGGTGATACTAAAGTTAGTGAATAAATAATTTTTATCATTATAGTATATAAAATTATTAGTAGATAATTCATTTGTATTGTCATAGACATTTGATGAATGTGTCAATATTGGTCAACCTGACTGTGATCCTAATAATATGTGGCTTCAAATTCCTTTTTTATGTGGTCATGATCCAGCTTGCTGGTAAGATTTCAATGTGAAAATATATCTGTGTGTTATTTAAAAATTTTATTTTACTATAGGGAAGTTGGAAATAAATGGGCATTAGAAGAAGCTAAGAGAAATTTACAAAGACATTATCTTTTAGTAGGTGTTACTGAAGAATTAGCAGAATTTGTACAAATATTACAGATTGTATTTCCACGATTCTTCAAAGGGGCGTACGAATCGTTTTTATATAGTAAGTTGATAAATGTTTATGCTTTAAGTTTATATATCGATGTTTTATTATTAAACGTGTAAGACATGAAAATATTTTTAGATAACAAATCGCATTTACGACAAACGACGCAAAAAATTGATCCGTTACCGGAAACAGTGGAAAAAATTCAAAAAACAGTTGTTTGGAAAATGGAAAATGAATTATATAATTTTGCTTTAACTCATTTTCATACTGTTAAAAAGCGTCTCATAAGTGCTTCTCTTCAAGATATTAATCAACGATTTATGTATGAAAAAATACGACCTAAATAAAAAGCATTTTTTTATATCGAAAAATATCATTTTTTTGATTATTACATTCGAGATACTTTTATATAATTTACTCATGGTATCAGAATAAAGTTTATTATTGTACTGTTATGGCATTAGTCATTGATGATCCTCACTACATGTGTTAAATTGGATTAAAAATTTAATGTTTGATTTATCATTATATCCAAATAAAAGTTTTGATGTTTATTTTAATTTGATAAATCTAGTACTATTTATTTCAATCAAAAATTAATTTATTATAAAAATATGAACAAAGAATAAGAAAGTAACATGAACAAAATTATTTTATATCCATTATTCTATTATCGATTATTCAATATTTTCACAGATTAGTTTTTTGGTTTAAGAGCAAACATATAAACTGGATATAAACCAGAAGGCATATAACGTTGTAATTTTTTTTTTATGCAAATCAATCCAGCTTTCTCAAATATACCTACTAAGTCTTTATATGGTCTTGTTACAGAAGAATCTGTTGTATCAAACTCCAATACATTGGAGCTTGTTACATTGTCTTTTACAACTAACACACCTTTCTTTTTTAAACCTGACCTGCAAAAATTTATAAAAATTTAAAATATATAAAAACAATATTGATCATTAGTATGATTTCATTAATTTTAGAAATATATTTAAACTTACACACAATTTTTGAGAAATTCTATTAAATCATCATCACGAATATAACCTAGAACCCATTGGCACCAAATAACATCATACTTTTGTGGTTTTGGATAAAAATTTTGTAGCGCTTAAAACATTCATAAAAAGATATATAACGCATGAATTTTAATTATTTTATATATATTTATCATTTAAATATTACCACTACAATGAAAGTCTACTCTTGAAATACAGGTACTTAAATACGTTTTTGCAGTTTCTATAAATTTTGGATTCTGTTCTAATAAATCAACACTTTCAAAATGATTTATTAATAAGTTTTTTGTTACACGACCAATTCCAGCACCGCAATCCAATGCTTTTTGTCTTGATGGTGGATTTATTAACTGAAACCATTAATAATTATTTAAAATAAAGCATTTTTCTATTTTCTTGGAAATTTTAATACATAACTTTAATCATAGTTATAAGAAGTACAACATAGTAAACAAATCATTGGTTAAATTTTATACCTCTATATGATATACCTCAAATAATGAAAATAGAAAATGTGATGAACCATCTATATCCTTTTCTGATAAAAATCCAAAACCACCTAGCATTCCATCAACAGTAGGAGGAATACGATCCCAATATTTTTCAGAAGCTTTATAAAACCTATTATCAAGTAGTTCTGTATCATTTATTTCTTCCATGTTAAAATTTTATACTTTTTTTGGCGATGTTAAATTAATTGAGTAAACGTATAATCAAAAATCAATAAGGTCACTTTATTGCTGAATCAATGATTTATGATCAATATTTTGATATCGTAGTAATTATTCAAATCTCAATCACTTTAACACTTGCTTTCATTCGTTAATATTGTGTTGTGTTCAGAATTATATCATACGCTGACATTTTGCTTTTTCTATGTATGTAGATGTTAAATTTGATATAATAATTTTCAATATTACAATTTTTAAGAAAAAACAATTAAATACATGTTTAATAGTTTTTCATTACTTTTTATGGCAAAATGAACACGTGTACTATTATTTTATATTTTTAAAAATAGGATTAAACAACCAATAAAAATGAAGAATTTTAGTTACTCTGGTCACATCCAATTATATTAGAAACTTGTTATTAGTTACTAGTGTCCTTATCCTGCATTGGTTAAAATATGTTCGTTTAAAATATTAAATTTTGTGTTTGTTTATGGACGTACAATATTTCATCAATTTTATTTAAATTAAAAGAATAATTTTCTTTCGATTATCGCGTTTGATAATCACTGGTACATAAGTAGTTCAGAAAAGTATAAATGAAAACTACACTTTAGCTAAAGTGTAACAACGATCAATACGCTTATCTATCTTTATACTGTATAATCGTTGCGGATTATACGTGTTTATGGGTTTCTTAGTGGTTGACAGCTGTCAATTGTGCATAGGTTGGTAGTGAGTCACGGCATTAGCATTGGGTTTGACAAAGATAACTTAGTGCGACAGGTAATTAAGTAGAAAGTAATTGTCTTTATTAGATGTACCTTAATGTATCGTCATTTGCACGCGCACTCATACTCACTCGTAGTTAAAAGCAGTTTATGCCTTATGAATTTCCTTTAGATAATCTAGGCAACCACTTGGTTCTTGGCCTCCAATTTTTCCGCTGATCTACAGCAAGTATCGCACAACATCACCTACCCTTTGTTCAGATGTCCAGCTTTTTTTTGTAAGAGCCCTTTTTACCTTGTTTGCATATTCATTGCAAGAACTATCAATATAAAACAGAAGTTATTAGTAATTTTCGGTTTCAGCGACGTCACAGGTATGGCATCAAGCTCCGTTAGCCAGGAGGATTTTGATAATGACTTTGAATTAACATCAAGGAGATCTAGAATACGAACTGCTAGAGCTAGAGTTGGACCACCTAGGACAGGAGATACAGCTTCCATAACTTTTCAAAGTTTGTTATTTTTGCTGTATTCTACTTTTTTGTATTGCTTTATAAAATTTTTATTAAAATTGTAAATATCTTTTTTATTTAAAGAAAGTGCACCAGATTCGGAAGAATCTCAAGGTATATGCAATTCTAGTTCAAACAGCGTACCTCCATCAGAACATGATGGTCAGCAAAATAAGCCCATTATGAGGAAGCAAGACAAACGTGTAACTGGCCGGTGAGTTCTATGAATATAATTACTTTTGCAATTTATTCAAGGTAGTCAAAATTGTTTTTGTTTGAGCATCCACTGCTAGCCAATAGATCCATGATAGAATTTTGTATATTTTGCTAACATTTTCTGGATCTGGTTCTAGTGTCTTTAGTGTCGTATCCTGTTTGCATAGGCCAACGCATATAAACAAGGGAAAGCAGCAACGTGATCGACGGAAACTCAGAGAAAAAAGACGAAGCACTGGAGTTGTGCATTTACCATCGACAGAGGTTTGTCACTCTTTGAAACTTGGTTTGTCGTGCCTTGGCCCTGACGTCTGCATACACACCTTTAATCTCATACTTGTTAATATTAATTTATGGAATGTGTACCATGTTTTCTAGTTGTCCCAAATTTAATTTCTATTTATGTTTGGCATGTTTACATCGATTATTGGAAAAATTTTCATGCAGTGTATAATTGCAGGATTAAATATTTAATTCTATATTTTGCAGCAATTCATTTTGTTAATGTGATTATGATAACATAATGTGACTATGGTAACATATTTTTGTAAGCATCAGAAACTTGCTTAAATATTGGGTAAAAATTATTATGAATCTTAATAGTTAGATTTTCATATAGATTTGCACACAAATTGACAGTGCAACACCATTTCTATTATAGTAGTATTTTTCTACTTGAAATTTCTTTTTTTGCTTTAGTATAATCTTTTTAGTTATTTGCTTCTGCAGAGTACAGGAGGAAGTACAGGAGAAGATGAAGAAGAACTCAGTGGTACTTGTCTTGAAACAAAAAATAATACACATCATAATGAGTTCCTTGATCATGAACTCATTGAAGTGAGTATCTATAATCAAATTTTTGTTAATATTAATGCAATATTATTAGTAATATAACTTGTTAATAATATAACTGTAATATAACCTAATAATATTAGTGCATATGCATAATATTTTTGTTATAATGTTGGTTTGTTTATACTCTAATTATATATGTGTTACAGGAACGGAGTGTTAAAGTGTATACACAAAGACGAAATAAAAGGTACGTTTTATTTTTTTTATTTAGTTAGAGTAGCAATTTTGTAGAGTAGCAATTTGCTTAATTTAAGTAGTTATTTGTAATCAACTGCTACTGCTTTCTAGGCATTACCGTACTTCATACAGGTCATGTTTAATTACACACGGTTGGTAAGTGCACTACTGTACACCAAAACGTACAATTAGGCACAACCTGTACGAATTACGGTAATGCTCCTAGAATTTGATAATAACGCAATTTCATTTCGAGTATCGACAAACAAGCAAGATCGAAAATTCATATTGGGTATTAAAAACATAAGGAATGTATATTCACGCTGTGACCATATAAATGTATAGACTATAATTTTTATAAATTATGACAATATGTGAAATACATTTACAAATATATATACATATATATATATATATATATATATATATATATATACATATATATATATTATATATATATACACATGTATATATACATATATATACATTTATATATATATATATATACGTATTCAGAAAGGGTCGTGCCTAATATATTGTTTTTAGACATCATCTAATCATTGAGTATTTAAATATGTTATATATCTAAACAAATAATATTTTTGTTTTAGTCATTCAGATTTAGAAGCAGACGATGAAGAGTTTGATTCTCTTAACCAATCTGATAGTGTTAATCAATCTGACCACACAAATCATGAGCCACAAACTTCATTAAATATAACAAACAGACCAAGATTACCTACACCTACAGGAGATAATCCACACGAAGTAAATAATTTTGAGTCTTTATCAAAATAATAAAAAGATAATAATAAGACTTTTACAAATATATATATATATATATATATATATATATATATATATATATATATATATATATATATATGTTTTTATGTCATATATAAACATTTTCAGTTAATTGAACGTGCTCAAGAAGAAAATAGAAGGCTTTTATCTTTGTTGGAAGATCGTGATCATAAAATAATGGCATTAGAAGCTCGTCTTTTACAGCAACAACACGAAATGGCAATAGAACGAGAACGTCTTCGCGAAGAAAATGCAGCACTAATTCGAGCGATGGCAGCTTTAGCAAGCAACTAATTTTCTTTTTTTCTTACATATAATATCCCATTCATTGTCGACCTTTGAATTATTCTAGAAATTATGCATAATTAATAAACTAAATATAATTCTAGTTTAAAAAGTAATTAAAAAGAGTGACTTAATGATGTTAACTCTTGCAGAAGAGTGTACTTTGAAATATAATTACGAATTCTATATCGTCAGGGTAAGCCACAAAACTAAAGAAGTAGAATCATATATTGTAAATTTTTCGGCAAGAAACAAAAAGTTGCAGTTTGTTAGTTTCTCTTGTCATAGACATTCTCTATCTTGCTTATATAGCGTATATTATAAATTCTAACGTAGATATCTTGTACAATTTTATTATTGTTCATATTTACAAAATATTTCATTATTTTTTATAGGTTAAGAGTCGAATATATTTCTCTCCTCATTTTTTTAATGATGTTCCTTTATATATCGAATTTTCTCATACGTTCTTAAGGTTAATTACTTGTAGCCTTAAAATGAGTTTAAGTAATGAATGGAAGCAAAAAGAACGTCTTTACATAAAAGAATGACTATAAAGGTGCTTCAATTTTCGTTCAATGTTATTACTTTTTTCTTTAGAATGGTATAAAATTAATAATAATAGATATATTCATGTTTCACATGCTTCGCATCTGACAAAGAAATGTTGGTAAGTATTGTGACGTAACGTTAATTGTAATGCATTATATGAAATCTTTTATACTATAAAAGATACCGGTTACGATCTATTTAGATGTTTATGTAAGTTTTCTACCTATGCGAATGAACGTGATTCAGAATATTTATGGTCGATCGTTAAATTTTCTAATAAAATTTGCTCTTCGGTTAAGCGTGTAACAATGATTTAATGAAATAAATATTAAAGCGTTATTTATATATACAGCTTTTCTTTATTAATTAAGCAAAATTAAAGAAAGATAGAACACGCTTGATCGCTTGTGATAAAGAAACGCTATATGATATATCAAAGCACTTTATATACGTCAGTTATGAATTTGAGTGAGCGATTGAATGTATATAAAAAGAAAAGCACATAACTGACAATTCTATATCGGCTACAAAGTATTTAAATATATTGCAGTAGGTATCAAAAAGAGGATTAGAGAAATTGTATTTGATTATATTAAATTATCTGAAAAAATTGCGCGATGTATATAGATACAACTATATATATTGAATTAAAAAAAAAATTAGAAGTTAATTGACATCATTTTTAGTTAGTATATGTTATAGTTATCGATCTTGTTATTTAGTTTAAATTTTGTCATAAGCATAATTGTAAAGCAGGAGACTGAAAATGCCAGTAATTTTTATATGATAAGGATAATGAATTAAAGAAGGTAAAAATATGCGTCGATTCTATTGTATAATTTCAGTATATGCACAATAATCGTTTTATTTGACGCTTTGAGCTAGTGTAATGAATTACTAGCTAAAATATGCAAGCAAGATAAAATATTTGTCTATTCTTTTTAATTCTTTTTAATTCTTTACGTATAGATCAATGTAAAGAAAATTGTACTAAAAACTTTGTTATAAGGAATATCTTTCTAAAATACTGATCTTTAAATTCTATATGATTGTTCCTTTTCGTTACGCTTCGGTTAAGAAGATTAATTAATCTACTATACTTATTTCTTTTTCATAGAATTGCACTAGGCAGTCTTAGTACTTAAGAACTAAAAATTGATTATAAAGCGTATAGTGCATGGATGGAAATGATTTTACAAATAAAAGTAAATCGAACAAATTATTTGAATGGTGGACGAACAAAGCAAAAGATTCGTTAAATCACTATATCCCAAACCTTTAATCTCTTCTTGAAAATCAGTATGTAAGCAGGTACAAGTTGAAAGGATACTGTTTTATCTCTTTGTCATTACTATAAAGACAGTTCTATCAATATGAACTTTCAATTTGCATTTTTATTCATAAAATAACTAAATAAATTTTGATATAATACAATACTTGCACGCATTTACGCATAAATTACATACTATACTTTTTATGGTTTTTACTATCAATCACTACATATAGCTGTACATTATAAAATCGTTGGGATCCGATTTATAAGGATTACTTTATATTAACCATCACGGTGCATACCCTTTCTTAAAGTGTGCGTGCCGCAGATAGTATATATATTTTACTTTAATGACGTATAGTGCAAGCAAATTTTAACATGTGCATTAAGTTGCAGAAAAATACTAGCAATAAAGAGATATATCAACATGCTATTAACTTTTCTCGGACGATTCACGAGAATATGAACGTCTGTTAAAGCGTTATCATCATTACAGCAACGACATTCCTCGTATTTATATCGTATGCCGATATACATTTTTATTGTTAATATCTTCTCACTATTCGATAAACACTACATACATACATCCTCGTGATGCAACAGGTACTATTTTTTTCTTCTATCAATACATCTGCCGACATTTCTTAATATCTCTCTCTCTCTCTCTCTCTCTCTCTCTCTCTCTCTCTCTCTCTCTCTCTCTTATCTGTTTAACTTTTATTTTCACACTCTTTAAAACTGTTTGTCCATTTAATTTAGCCATTCACGTACGCACACAGTTTACAGTTCACGTATTTACATCGTTTCCTCTTACAAAAAAAAACAAAAGATGCCGGCAATTTAGAGACATACGTATGAATCACTAACTTTGTGTTCTTTTCTTCTTACATACAGCTCTCAGTTTTTTATGAAAAGGCGACGTATCCTTGATATGTACCGTTGCGAATATTAAAGACGAAATCGAAGGAACTCTTCCACTTTCGTTATCTTCAATTTTATTGTCTGCGATAGAGTCATCGTTAATAGCAACGAGCTCCATATATATATATATATATATATATGATGACATAATGTCATATATATATATACATATATCATTCTGTACAGCTACTTAATCTTATATTTAAGCGAGATTGTAATAATAAATTCTCTTTCTAAAATGAATCTCTTTTCGATTCGATTCTTCCTAATAACGATCAAAGTTGCAGGAACTTATTCGCGTTAAAATTTCGATGTGAATAATGTTATCTTACGATTATATAATATGCAATACCCTATATGAAATATGTCATTACGAAAGCATCTTTTTTTCGTGGTTCGAGTGAACGAAGTTAGTTTGTGTTCCTCGCAAAGCCAAACGATCTCTATTTTCACTTACAAAGATTAATCCTGACTACCACCACGTACCCGTAATAGATTCTTAATACGTATTTACCAACGTAACGTATGTTCATTTTCTTCTCGATGGTTTTTCATCAACGAGAAAGAAAAAAGAAATTTCTTCAGTGATATTTGAACGTCATAGATTTCGATAAGGAACTCACTCGTTCTCTCTTTATTTTTCCTTTATTTCTATGCTGCTCTCGTACTATAGATATATACCATCTATCCCAACAAACGACTAGATCACGATGGTTGGACCACAACCAGATTCTTAAATGCTAAGGAGTTTAACGTCTAAGCTTTTCTCTTGGTTATAACGATATACATATTATTTATCAAATATAAACCACATTATATCAATTATCGTATAGACGCACAGATTACAAATGGACAAATGTAAAACTTAAACGTGGCTAATAATCGTCTTACAGCTTGTATGCGATGTTATTTATTTTCTGAATAATGTTCTCTCTCTCTCTTTCTCTCTTTCTACCTCCTTTCGTTTTTTTTGTAAAATTCAATGCCCTTTCACAAAAATTTCTAACAAAATTTCATTTGCCAAGACAATATTTTGTTAATAAAATGTTCTTCAACATCATAACTGGCGATTTTCAAGAAGTGTTGTCCGCAATGTTTTTGTGAAATACGATCAAATGATGAATGCGAGTGAAGAAAAGAAAGAAAAACAAAAACAAAAGGAGAAAGTAATAAAAAAAAGCTAAAAGAAAGATTATTTCAATTCGATCAAATTAATAGATATATTAAATAGATATATCTCCTGTACAGCAATAATACCAAGTATCGTCACTATTATACGAAACACTGGATCTATAGATCGCCACTCTTGCGAAAACGATTCTCAACGAAGTACGTTAAAGTAGTCTCTGTGTATTTTTTGTTTTTTTGTTTTCTTTTTTGCTTTTTTAGTATGCTTTGATAAAAATACATATATCTTTAAATTCTAAATTTAATGTTGTCAGAAACAGTCTAAAATCAGTATTATCTGTCTATGCCGAACAACAGTCGTGAACACTTTTCACGTAAGTACTTACAAGTTTAACCTTGCATTGAAAGAGCATGTTCTTGATAAAACGAAAGAAAAGAAAAGAAAAGAATAGAAAAGAAAAAACGATCGAACATCCTCTTTTTTTTTCTTGAGATAAATGATAATTCGGAAGTATATATCGTCTGGGTAATCAATTTTTAGGTGAAAATTTTGCAAATATTTCGTAATTAAAAATGTGCTCTCCCTTCCTTTTGTTTTCTTAATTTGGTATTCGTTCGATCAGAGATATTCTTTTACCCCTTTTTCTTTTTTTTTCACGCTCATACATTTAGTAAGTTAGTTGTTAGATAAGTAAATCGTTTGTAAATCGGCCTTTCCCTATATTTCGAGGGGGGAGTGGGCGATCATCAAGGCACGGTAACAAGGTAAACAAGTTCTCCCGCTAAAAAAGAACAGGAAGAACGATGAATTTGCGCGTTAAGATATGTACCGTTTCTTCCGCCTCGTCTCTTTATCTCTACACACGTTTTCGTCGTTTTGAATCGATGGAACGAGCATTATCGTTGTCCCTGTGTCCAAGAAATATGGATATGAATAATATAATAATAATAATAATAATAATAATAATAATAATAATAATAATAATAATAATAATTAATAATAATAATAATAATAATAATAATAATAATAATAATAATAATTAATAATAGTAGTAATAGTATAGTAATATATAACAACAAAAACGAGCTTGCAGGTCCGTACGTTTCTTTTTGCGAGGTGTTGCATATATGTGTATGTGTATGTGTAGGAGTGTGTATGTCAGGCGCACGCACGCCTTACGCGTTCTTTCAAACGCTGCAACCGGAAGTAACTTCCTCGCTACTGTTTTGCTGGTGACTCCAACGACACTGATGACAACTCTTGGGTTCCTCCGTTTGTTGCGTTCCAGTGACACCACCAGACGCTCTTAGTCCCTGCTCTAATTCGAGAAGCTGCCCCATAAAATTTAGATTCGGACTGATAATCGGCCGTGCATTTTTCACCAATTTATATGCTTCGACCATTGACAAGCCTTTATGTCGCATTATGTACGCGATGGCGATCGTCGCACTACGTGAAACGCCAGCCTGGCAATGAACCAATACGCTGCTACCGGCTTTTCGTGCTTCCTCTGAAACAAATCAATAAAGTGCGATGCGTTAAGTTATGATACGTTTAATTATCAAAGCAAAATCAGTCTATACAATAATACAAGTCATAGAACAAAATTGATCGATTAGTCTATTGGTATAACGAGCAAAAAACGCGCGCAGAATCCATCGTTTGAAAACTCGTCGAGCAGGTTCGTCGTCATTTGCACTAAGATCATGTTGTAAACACATTGTGTAAGATTTGAACTAAGATCATGTTGTAAACATATTGTACACGGTTAAATGCAAGTTAAACAGGCGATTCCGTTACGCAATAAAGGGGACGACGTTATCGTATCTCACCAATGAGTCACTGCCCGGATCCTTACGAATCGCACTCGCATACTCTGTATTCTCACACACACGCGCGTGCGCGCACGCGACGCGTTTTTATATCGTGCTGGTGGTGCGATAACAAATGGATGTATAATTCACCCCACTACGTGCGGTATTTTTCAACACAAAAGAAAGAGAAGAGGCAGCCAACGACCGCAAGTAACAACAGCAGCACACGAAGTGGTGTCAGATTTCTTGATTTATTTTTTTATTATTAAGTGTTATGAGATCGGAAACACTAAGGATGGTCCCCAATTTTTAGACACGACCACTAGGAGTATGAGTCTTATTATTTTTGTCTTTGTCGTTCTTTTGATTATATGTAATGAGCTTTACGCCACTTTCTTTTCGTAACGATCGTTTCTGATGTGTGTAGTATAGATATAGATACACATACGTACATATATATCTTAGTAAAAAAAATTAACGTTTCTATTCCTAAGAATTTTAACTGAATTTTTTCAACACAGTTAGAGAAATGTTTTTAATATTCTTATCACTTCGAGATAAATAAGCCTTCGTCTTCTTTTTCTTACGTATAAGATAACAGATTGATTTATCGACGTGTTGGTTCGAAACGCGAATCGTCGATAATGAAGATTCATTCGTTCTCGATGTTTCGTACGAAGTTCAAAGAGGGCCCTCTTCTTATCTTCTTAACGAAGGCATGATAAGAATACGACAAAACTTCTTCGAAAGCTTTCGAGCGAAAAAATCATCCGGCGTGATACCGGTTTAGGTTAACAGTAGCGAAATAAGGTTTTATAACGTTTTGCTTTTTCTGAGTATGAAAATTTTTATACACACTTGCGAACGTCATGTACATCTGCCATGAGTCAGAGAGAGTGGTCGAATAGAAAGAGAGCAGGGTGCACACAAGAGGGAGAAAAGAAGAGAGAACGAATAGGAGGGACGATGTCAGAAAGCAAACACGTCTAATGGAATAGCAGCAAACTATACGTGTATCGGGGATACCTGTCGTATCGCCATTACCCAGGTAAGTGCCGGATTTTAGGTAATCGAAATCCTCCCTCTCTCCCTCCTTATTTGCCATATCTGATTATACTTCCATAATTTTATTATAGAGATCTTACAAAAGGATTTCACAAGTCATCGTAATTAAGCTTATAACCCATAAAGAATCGAACGATTATGAATAAGAATTAGTAAAAATTATTGGATCGAAATTATTATTGACGACAAACAACAACAACAACAACAACAACAACAACAACAACCACAACAACAACAACAACAACAACAACAACAACAACAACAACAACAACAACAACAACAACAACAACAACAACAACAACAACAACAACAACAACAACAACAACAACAGCAGCAGCAGCAGCAGCAGCAGCAATAACAACAACAGCAACAGCAGCAACAACAAAAACAGCAGCAACAACAACAATAATAAAACGACAACAAAAACAATAAAAATAGCAATACAACAATCAGTTCGTGAAACGGTTTCATTTGAAAAAAGATATGAGCGTATCTCGGCCAGGCCTCGATCGCGTTACGCGACGTACTTCGATATAACGGAAACAGGGTGTAACCAGCCGTTTCCGGTGGACCATTCACCAAGCAGAGAGCTGAAGACGAAAGGCTTCCATTCATGAAACCATGACTCACATGCGTGCACAGCCGTGAACGCCGAGAGACCCGTTCTCTCCCTCGCTCCCTCTCACTCTTTTTCTCTCTATACTTCTCTCTCGCTCACTCTCAGTGCGTGAACGCGTGTGGGCTCTTTATATCGCGCACAGTTGGTATACACACGAAGATGAATACAGGCTGATACAAATTTGATATATCTTTTTGCGCTTTCTTTCTCTACCTCTACATTTATATCTTTCTATGCAGTGAAAATGGCAATATCACTTTTATTATTTTTACCATATCATTTTTAACGAAATAGAAAGAAAGAATTGTTAATTCTTTCGCATCTTAAAATATCAACGTAATATACTTTGAGATTATGCTCGTTAACTCGATACTCTTACGAAACTTTACAAAGTGTAAGACATAAGATAAATGACTTTGTCACAATATAAGTTTTGTTGCGATTAATTCAGACAATCGATCATCGATCGAATTAGTTTTCAAAGGATAAAGTTTTTTTCATTACGAAATTTCACCCATTGGACTTGGATAGGACCCTAAAAACCTTCAAAGGATTGATCTCATCTGAATCAGCCTGTATAAGAGGAGAAACGTCAGGAACAATCACTGCGTGTGCGAGTATGTAGTAAAGACAGGGGTGTAGCCTGGTTCGAAGGTATACATACTCATGCTGGAGCTGCAGGGCTTCTCCCTCCTCGGTGAATGTGCAACTGGTGGAATGTTGTACCTGGAGGCCGATCGAGGGGACCGAAGAACTTTCGGATAGACCCCTCTTTCGTGCGTCCCGTAAAACGGGTGGAACGCGTTTCCGACTTTCATCGAGGGTAGTATATTGCGACCTTTACAAAAACGCTTTGCCTTCTTTTTTCAAAGAGGGGATGAAAAAAACAGCTGACCTATGTTATTTGGAATAACAAAATTTCTATTCTACGTGATGCGATTACGAAATAATCGAAATTAAATCTTGATAATTAGGAATGTTGTTGTTGTTTTATTGATATTGACCTCTGGATTAGTCGTTAAATAATATGACGGAATTTTGATTCTTTTATATATAAGTAAACAACATTAGTGTTATTTACTGAGAATTGTGCCACATCAATATAATACTAAATTATGTTATTGCAATCTAAACGTAAGTTTACTATACTATATTCTTGGACTGGTCAATAAGTTTGAATAAAAAATATTAATGCCGTTTGTTGAGATATAAAATATTGTTAATTTTTACATTGCTTACTGGCCATTCCATCATTGTAATTACTCTATACACATGTGTTTAGAGTAAAACAAGTCAGAATGAGGTATAGAAGCATACGAGTATTATCGACAATTTTAGTATTTATGGACACACCTAGTGGGCTGAAAAAATTACTCATCGAGAGAAGCTAAAATCATTCTCTCTCTCTCTCTCTCTCTCTCTCTCTCTCTCTCTCTCTCTCTCTCTCTCTCTCTCTTCTCTCTCTCTCTGAATATATTATCAGATTTATCATAAATTTTTCATAAAAGCTTCAGAATTCAATAATTAATGCTATCGATTATAATTAAAGAAAAGTCAACTAACCAATAAAGTCAAAGGCTTCTTCGAAATACTGCTTAAGATTTTGATGACCGGAATCTGACGCAGGTATCTGTCTGTAGGTAATGCCCCTTTCCTCGTGATATCCTGGTAATTGGGAGGTAACGTTCAATACTCTAGTAGCGCCAAGGGCTCGAAGGAGTTGAAGATCAGCAGCATCTCTGCCGTTGCCAAGGTAAAGAAAGGGTAAAACACGAGATGCCGGATGGCTATCGATGTCTGCTGCTTGTGGTGTCGGTGGTCCAGAAAGACTTAGAATCGAGCAACCTGGACCAGGACTTGGACAACCGCTGACGGTTGTGGAAGAATTGCCATTACCACCACCGGACGGTAACAGGGTGTCCTCGCAGAATTCTCGATGCCGCCTGTGGAACTCTTTGTGTCCACCTGCAAATAAAAAACATAATAGCGTTATTATTACGAAGAAGCAATAGAAGCTGCTTTCCTTGATTTTATCGTTTCAAGAACGAAGAAATCGTTTCACACGAGGGAAGGAAAAAGAAGAAAATAAACAAGGCTCTCTTTTTTTTTTCTTTTTCTTTCGTCGATATATCAAGAACTAAGGAGTACAATGGTATGATTCATTCGACTAGCTCCGCGAGTGGCAAACGAGATCGTTCTACGAACAATTTCTCAAACTACTAAAATGATAAAGCCGTTCTTGCAGGTTCATGTGTGACACTTCCGTGGTGCTCGTCCGAACAAATTACGATGTACCTACTACGAAAGATTTGGAGAGGACGAAAAAGAGAAGTATAGGAGATGGAAAGAAAATACGCGTGAGAAAAAGGGAGGACCATATACCCTGTGACGTATAAATGGTTAGGGTAAAAATAAGGAAATGTTGCTAGAGATCAGAGAGAGAGAGAGAGAGAGAGAGAGAGAGAGAGAGAGAGAGAGAGAGAGAGAGAGAGAGAGAGAGGGGGAGAGAGGGGGGGGAGAGGGAGAGGGAGAGAGAGAGGGAGAGAGAGAGAGGAGAAATGGACAAGAAATGTGGGCTAAAAGTGTCTTCCTCTCCTGACCTGCAGCTCGTAAAAAAAGCCTGGCCTGGCTCGACGATGAGTCACTCTCATGCCCCCTTTTCTCCCTCCTGGCTAGTCGGCCGACGGCCTTCCTCTTTCCTTCCTTCCTTCCTTCCTTCCTTCCTTCTTTCTTCTCTCTCTCTCTTTCTCTCTCTCTCTCTCTCTCTCTCTCTCTCTCTCTCTCTCTCTCTCTCTCTCTCTCCCCCTCTCTCCCCTTACTCTCAACCCCAAACTGTCCCAGACGATGATCGTTTCACTGTTGGCATGGCGAAACTCTCTCTCTCTCTCTCTCTCTCTCTCTCTCTCTCTCTCTCTCTCTCTCTCTCTCTCTCTCTCTCTCTTTCTCTCTTTTATATCGTCTTTCGTTATGAGATTATATTCTACTTTTCTAAAATTATTTACCAATTTTGTCTTTAATTGCCTTTAGCTTTATAATTCTTCTTATTCTATTTAACTTTTGGTATTTTACATACATTGTCGATTACTCTTGTTCGAGATACCTGAATAGTTTCTAGTAATTTCCTTGGAATAAGTTCCATATTTACATGTTTACGTTTTTCGATCGATATATCTATCGTTTACGAACGAGCCGTTCGCACGAGATCACCCTACATACGTAACGGTCTCTCAAAGTACGTTACGTCTGTCCGTTGGCTGAGAACAGGTTTGCCAGACGGTACACACGTCTAAAGAACAGACGCGCACCAGATTTCAAGAAAGTGTTTCGACAAAGTATATGCAACTCTTGGAAGAGTTCTTTTTATATATCACACGTGATATTGACTCATATATTTTACGAAAAAACCTAGCGAAATCGATGCTTTCGAATTATCGTAAAAACTTGAAATTTGCATATACCTAAAATAATTTCTCATTCTTCCGCATTGCGCAGTATCGTGGACTTTAGGCGCAATCTTGGACCGATAGAAACTAACTATCTTCACTCTTTTTCCTATGTATTCGTAGAGATACACCTACTTCCTACATTTCGCGAAACTCCTAGAATTTTCCATTTCACCGTACATACACATAATATTATGTGCGTATATTACTACATTGTTTATCGATTATAGATCTTGGAGAAAAAAAGAAAAAAGAGCAAAAAAAAATACAAAAAATTATGCTCATTATTGGAATTCATCATAATAATTGTTTATAGATTATTCCATGGAACGATAATTAGAAGCTTATTAAAATACAAACTAAACGAGTCATACATTTTTTTCTTTATGTCGGACATTGAACTAATTTAGTATTCGGTAAAAAACGTATACATATATCTATACTATTCACGATCACACAATGATGATCTTCGACCCTTTCCTAGGCTAGTTCTTTCTTTCCCTCTCGCTAGAGAATTATTTATACTTTATAGATATATCTATGTCGATCTACTTAGTGGCCCCGTTCGTGTCCAGGGTCGTAATGTCATGCGGCGGCCCATTGTAAGCAGAGAGAATGCAAATTACATTGTGCGTGTCTCCCACTTCCTCCCTCATCTCTTTTCTCCTTTCCTCTCCTCAATCATTCTGTGAACTTGCTTCGTCACTGTACACCTCCTCTCCTCGAAAATTATACACGATCACTTCTCATCCTATCGTTCGATCCCTTCTTTGTGATAGTCTAATCGAAAAAACGAAAGATTGATAATCGATGAAACGAAAATGTTCGACTATGTGAAGTTTCTCTCTCTCTCTCTCTCTCTCTCTCTCTCTCTCTCTCTCTCTCTCTCTCTCTCTCTCTCTCTCTCTCTCTCTCTATTCTCTTCTTACCGTTTCGAATTTATTTGTATATATTAATATATTTTTCACCTCGAAATATAAAAGAAAGAAAAAGAAGAAACGATAATCGTATTATCTATACATTTGTCTTTTTTCCTAAATCATACATGCCTTTTGATCGTTGTACTCGACGTCTAAAACATCCCATATATTTTTTTTCTTTTTTTTTCTTCTTTTCCTTATCACGATCATTGATGACGGATTCCATATAGTCCGCGAGATGTAAGTCATCGTCCTTCGCTTATTAATTCCCGTATAAAAATGGCGTTAATATTCTTTATACAAGAAACAATAAACATTTCTTATTTACATCAGAAACAAAAAGACGAAGCTAAGTAATATTATTTTTTTTATTGTACACTAGGTATTAAAACTGAAAAGGATACCTTTTTGTTTTGTCGACAATAATAGAAAAAACACGTCCTTTTGAAAGAACGATAATAAGACGAATGATTCATTACCTCGAAAATGACTAATGCCTATAACTTAAGATTTTAGAAGTTATCTAAGAAGTAATTTCATCTCAACTTTGTTTGTTAAATTAACAGCAAAATATATAATAGAATTGATCAACTATAAGAGCATTGTCACTATTTATAGTATGAATCTAGCATGAATCTTTACAAAATTAAGTATTATCATTGTTATATCTTTGAATAATTTTAAAATAAAATTCGCATGGCCTGAAATTTCATCCATGAATCGTCTGTAAGTGTTGATCTTGATTGTTCGAAATCAAATTTAATTTGATTGACCAGACATATAAAAAAGAGAGAAAAGATTTTGAAGTTAAACGAGTCTGTTGACGATGGTATTTGTGTTTTCTCTCTTGGCATTTCTCAAATTCGCTCGAAGCGACTCATCGAGTGCGCATTACAACCCAAATACACGACACGACGATATCGTGGTCTGAGTCATCGGTAAAGAAGAGAGGAAGAGAGAGAGAGGAAGAAAGAAAAAAGGAGAGAGAGCGTGATTGTACTCCGTGTGCTGTTTCTGTTGCTGGCTCGTTCAACTACGAAAGCCAGGTTAGCGTTCTCTTCGTTGCTACCAAGTCGACGTTTTCTTCGAGATAGAGAAATATGTTAGTCATACGAACACCAATGATGTCAAAGAATGCGATAACCCTATGATAAAATGTATATGTTTTAAAAGTATGTCACTTTTCAAACGTTTGTTAGTAATCTTTGACATACTTCTTAATTAAAAATACTAATTATTATCGTAGAAATAAATGTTAAATATCTAGCTTCTTTCAACGTGTTCTAAATGAGAGTCAGATTTTATTTAAAAGCGAATGATCAATTTGGAAGAATTTTTCGAGAGACCGATTATTAAAAAATGTTTGTTATACTAAATATGTTAATAACAATTTACGATTTATAAACGTAGTTAGCTGATAAAAAAAAAATAAAAAGAAAAATACGAAGAATAATATATCAAGATTGAAGGAACGATCGACGAATTATTTCGATCAATCTTCCCTTCTATCTTATAAATCGATAATTGCTATTACCAAGATAGGTATTATACATTAACCTTTGTTCTTTCTTATGATGGATTTCTTCGATTCAAATTTGATCGAAGGAGCTCCGACCATATCGATTATACATCACATATAGAAAAATATATAGTATGAATATATACTATGAAGATTACATTTTATAAGATTGATTCCCTTTTTATAGTTTAATTTTGTAAGTAGAAAATTAGAAAATTGTTCTTTCTATTCTTTTCATGATTAGAGAAAAAAACTTACCCCATGGTTCGAGATTTTCTAAAGGTACGAGTCGTAACACGAGACAAGGTGAATCTTTTTTGATTCTCATCTTCGAATTATCATAAATTCTAGGTACAGTCTTGAAAATTGTCTTCTTCAGCTATTTATTTTCTTTTCGCGTTCTGTAAATTTCACTTAACATCATTTGACTTAACATCATTATAAAAAAAAAGTAAAGATCGACGATAAATTGATGAAGTTACATTTGGTAAAAAATAACGATCATGAAACAGACAGATACGAATAATTGTGTAGAGGTAAAAATCGCAATGTGATGATTTGTATCACGCGTTAAAAAGCACGCTGCTCATCCTTTTACTCGTTTATACGATAGTTGGCGGGAGACTGCAGGTCGTACAGACACGAGAGAGTTTACACGACGAGGCTCGCTTGCGTGAATCATCATTCTAACTTCTCATTGGCTAGAGCGTTCAGTGACGTCGCAAGCCGACCGAACACACGAGTTTGGCCGAAGACGGACAGCGGCTTGAACCGAAGCTCGAGGATTCTTTTCTCTTATCGTGCTGCTTCCTACTTTTCTCTCTCCTTCTTTTTCTCCTTCTTTTTCTTCCTTTTCTTCTTCTTCTTCTTCTTACCTTTCTATTTTTTTTCCTTCTCGTACGACCGCAAGTTCCCCGGCGACCTTGTCGAGCGTGCTCGTAACGCAAAAGTACGCAAGAGGACGCGTAAAGTTGATTCTCTTTCTCTTTCTCTCTCTCCCTTTCTAATCTCTTCAAATCTGAAATATCAAGGAGTTTTTGTTTCTTCCTTTTTCCGAAAGAATCAAAGAGTCGATAAGTACAG